CATTTGATTACGATATAGGAGATTAATATATTTGAGATCAGTAGAAGCAGTATTATGTACAATTTGCTTATTATTGAGATTTCTAAGAAAGCATCTTATTTGTTCATCAACTATATAGTTTGGAAAGCTATTATTAATAAGTGTCTGTTTTATATTCTTTAGTTCACTGTAAAAAATCTGTTTGGTGGATGAATTAGTTTCTGCACGATGTATTAGATTCTTTATAATTGCTATTTTGTAGTAATATGGGCATTCGCTCTTGTAGTTAAGTGTACATGAATTTATGCTTGTAGGTTTTTTGTATGGAGAAATAGTAAATTTGTTATTAATATGTCAAGGAAGGGGATTTTATTATTAGTATTAAGTTCATATGTGAATTTAAGGACAGAATTATTTTGGAACCGTTTTTGAAGTTGAATTATTTCATCTGTATTTTTAACTAACATAAGAATATCATCAACGTATCTTAGGTAGATTGATGGTTTTTTAAAATCTGTAAATAACTTATTTTCTAGGTTCGACATGTAGAAATTGCTAAATGTCGGGCCCAATACTGAACCCATGGAGACACCATCACGTTGTATATATATATTGTTATTATTATCAAAGAAAGGGACTTCAGTAGTACAAGTTAATAATAGTTTTCTTAATATATTAGGATTAATTTTAAGTGGGGGTAAAGATGAGTTACTGTATATATTTCTTATGATTATGTCAATAGTTTCACTAACAGGGACATTGGTAAATAAGTTTTCCACATCAAGTGAAGCCATGATTTCATTGTCAGGTTTTTCACTTTTTTTAGGATTTGGATTACTTCTAATGTTGACTTAACACTATATTTACTAGGAAGATAGGGAGTAATAAGTTGGTTGATGTATTTTGTTAGATGATATACAGGAGTTGGAATTTGCGATATGATAGGACGGAGAGGATAGTTAGGTTTATGTGTTTTTATAGTGCCATATATGTAGCCAGGTCTATAATCACCAACAATTTTAGGGAGTTTTAAAGAGTTCTGTTCAGTATTATTAGCATTAATAAGTTTATTAAGCTTTGATTTTAGTTGGTTGGTCGGGTTCTTGTTAAGTTTTTTAAACTTTGTGTGATCATGGAGTATGTGGTCTAGTTTTTTGTTGTAATCCAATTTGTTTAGGATGACAAAATCTAGTATATCCAACTTAATACTTCGCAATGATTCTTCTCCCCCGATTAGCGATTTGCAAAAAACCAACATAGTTTATAAATTCAAGTGCCCTTTGGGAGAGTGTATCTCCAACGAATTGTCTATAATTTCAATAATTGGTAACAGAAGCCATTGATTATACCAACGGCTTTCCTTATTTCATTCTCCAATTCACTTTCGTGTAGTCATGTGTGACGTCATGAGATGCGGTGCGATTTTCGATTCTAGCGTCTTATATGCGCGTGTTCATCGTTGCTTAGTGATTCACTATGTAAACAAAACAATGACAGACTATATCATCACTGTCGTGTCCGTATATTGGTTGATATGTTTGTATTTACATCTTTGATAATGGCTTGAGTAAGCCGAAAGCTTAGATTTTATTAAAAAATAATGGATAAATATTGTGAATTTCTTTTTTCGGTTAATGATAATGTTACCAAACTTATCAGAATATATATATATGTATATATATATATATGTGTGTGTGTGTGTGTGTGTGTGTGTGTGTGTGTGTGTAGGTTTTTCATTTACCTTGGTGAATTTCCCATTAAATAAGGTTGCTAAACATGTTTACCAACCAGATTTATTATTTTTTAGTTGTATATTTTATTTTTAAATTTTACTCTTTATTTTTATCTAATTATTATCATTGCTTTTATTATTATTGAGATTAATTAAATTATTTTAGTAGTAGTAGTAAGTATTGTGATTATTAATATTAAATGTCCAATATTTAGTTTATATTAATATATTCTTTATTTACTATTTATTAAATTTAATTTTAAATCTTACATGTTACGATTCAAATTTTAACTTACCTTAACCTTTATTATTGCTGTTATTAATAATATTATCAATTTTTAAACTGTTCTTTTTAAATTCTTTAAAAAAACTTTAATATTGTTAGACATTTCCATGACGGTCTACCTTCAATATTGAATCTAGAGGTTGGCAGTGAATATTTCGGAGACAGTAGGAAAGCGTACTTTAGGTTCGCAGTGGATATCACAGCAGAGTGTAGTTCATCCTTCTCCTGGTCGCCTTTGGTCCTTCCGGTAGACGAAACAAGATGGCCGCCTTTATACACGATGAATACAGTGTTGGGCGGCTTCGGATTGGTCAACCTCCCATTGGTCGACTATAAAGGGAAATAAGTCATTCTGACTCGCTCACTAGTTATAGGCGTATATACCCAAAAAACCGTAACAAATATATCTATAATTATAACAACTGTATTAATCAAGATTATATTATTAATAATATTATTAATATAATTTATTTTATTTTATTCCTAATTTGCTGGTAATCTTTAATACTTTATGTATTAAGTATAATTTAGTTTGATTTACATTTCAAATTATGTGCATTTTAAGTTTCACCGTGAGATACCTACATATGATAACTCACACTTTCTTCTTCTCCTCCCCACCTTGCTTAACCCTTTCTTTCCTCTTCCTCACCTGCTTTATTATTTGTTTCCCTTTTTTATTCTTTTCTCTCCCTTCCCATAATCCTCCCACTCCAACCTGTCACCTTATATCAATCTAAAACTATCCTTAAATATTGTATTAAAAATAAAAGAAACCTAATTCTTTTGTAACTAGAGATGTGACCTGAAGAACCAAGAAAATATATTTTCTGCAGAAATAAATTATAGTCATGGAAAATTAAGGTTTTTTTTAATTATTAAATTAATATTTGGTCTTGTTTTTCAATTGAGCTCTCTTAATCAGATCCTCTTTGAAATTATCAACACAGACTGGCAAACCCTTCATTACCTCACTGCACACACACACACAAAATATATATATATATATATATATATATATATATATATATATATATATATATATATGAAAAGTGTATATAAATATAAATAAATATATATATGTATAATTATTTATATATGTTACATGCGCGGTACTTATTAGAAAGCGCTCAACGACGACCAAGTATGTATATGTGTCTGCATACATCGATGTTTGCGTTAGTACGATGACATAAGCGACGAAATTTCCCCCACCACTTCCACAATAACAACAATACACGCAATCTACATAACCCAATTTTTAAAAAAAAACCATAATCAGTTTGACTGACGATCGCTAAAGCGTGAAACCCAGAGTCACAAACTCACATCTATCCAACCAAATATATATATATATATATATATATATATATATATATATATATATATATATAGGCGCGTGGCCGAGTGGTTAGAACGTTTGCTTTCTGACCATCAGACTAGGGTTCAGTTGATTTGAGAGGAATTAGAGGGCGATCCCAGCGTGCAGCTTGAAAATCATACCACGGGTTGACCCAAAATTTGTGTTGAAAATTGGGTAGCTTCGATAGCTGCGTTGCCACAAGTCATCGTGACCGAGGGTTTGAATGTCCTGGTCTTGTTCATATTTGTGATCACGCTAGATAAGACGCTCTCTCCCAGAAACTGCAACTAAGGTCTGCTCAGCATATTTGCAGTATAAACCACGGGTTGGCTCTGTGGGTGTTGAACAAACACAAATATGCCTGCCTCGACTATACACACACACACACACACACACACACACACACACATATATATATATATATATATATATATATATATATATATATATATATATATATATATATATATATATATATATATATATATATATAAAGAAAGAAAGAAAAAAAAATTGGAGGAGGCTTAAAAGTAGAAAACAAAGCATGGAACAAAGCATGAAAGTAGGGAAGAATAATAACTATATATATATATATATATATATATATATATATATATATATATATATATATATATATATATATATATATATATATATATATATATATATATATATATATATGCAAAATCTAATATCATAAATGACATCCCTATGTTCGGCACAAAAGCTATAATGGTAAGGAAACAGTTTGCAGGAATTGGCTTATTTCACTATTATCATTATTTGTTGGATAGGTTGCGTGCAGTAAGTTATCATATGAGGACAAATAACTGACTTTGGCCCTTGTGAATTGTGAATGACTCGTGAAAAGACATGCCATAATCAATCTGTTTGGACTCATTCTCAACACCTGGGCCCATAGCAAAGGAGGCATGCAGTAAGAGAAACTTGAAGAACCTCAGAAATATCGTCTGTTAAAGAATAGTTCATTTGCGCCTAAGAGTTCGAAGAGATGGTAAACATGGAGGTTTGATACTATAGGTATTTGCATCTTCGTCCAACAGATCTCTGCTTTTCATTGGATATCTCCTGTCAATTTCGAGTTTGCAAGTGAAAATGTCCTTACCCAATTAACGCCGACTTCATAACAGCTACCGTAAATTAGTTTGTGCACTGCAGTAATGCATTGAACCTTTCGGGCGCCGGAAGATTCCTTATTCTGATAAGAGATGCCATTCAAAAATTTCTTTAGGATTCGTGTATCACGCATACTTTTCCTTTCCAATAATTCTTTCTTCAAAAATTCCCTCCAGTTATTCTTCCCTTCTTTCATGCTTTGTTCCATTATTCTTTCTACCATTTGCCCATTCTGTCGCTCTGCTTTCCTACATTTTTTTTATTTCTTCCATTTTGTTTTACTCTTGGCTGTTCTTTGTTGATATTTTTCGTTTAATTTGATATCTGTTTCAACATCCATATTTCTTCATATCTTTTTCACTCGCTTTCATTTTGATACTGTGTCTTTTCTTTCTTTCTTTCGTTCTTTCTTTCTTTCTTTCTTTCTTTCTTTCTTTCTTTTCATTGCCTAAACTTGTTTATTCTTTCTTAATCCTGTCACTTCTTTCTTTCTTTTTTATCCAATGTATCATCGTTCCTTTTTTCTTTGTATCTTTCTTTCTTTCCATTGTTTGAATTATTATTTAATTTTCCTGTCAATTCTTTCTTTCTTTCTTTCTTTCTTTCTTTCTTTCTTTCTTTCTTTCTGTTACCTTAGTAGTTTATTGATTCATAATCCTGTCGTTTGTTTGTTTCTTTGTTTCTTTGTTTCTTTCTTTGTTTCTTTCTTTCTTTTACCTTAGTAGTTCATAGTTTCATAATCCTTTCTTACTTTCTTTCTTTATTTCTTTCTTTCATTATTCTAAATGTACTTCTTCGTCTCTCGTCTATTCTTTCTTTCTTTCTTTCTTTCTTTCTTTCTTTCTTTCTTTCTTTCTTTCTGTTACCTTAGTAGTTTATAGTTTCATAATCCTGTCGTTTGATTGTTTGTTTGTTTGTTTCTTTATTTATTTCTTCTTTCTTTCTTTCTTTCTTTCTTTCTTTTCTTTCTTTCTTTCTTTCTTTCTTTAGTCCAAATCTACTTTTAAGCCTCCTTCAATTTCTTTCTTTCTTTCTTTCTTTCTTTCTTTCTTTTCTTTCTTTCTTTCTTTCTTTCTTTCTTTGTATTTGCAGAATTTCAGGCATTCTTTAACCCGTACTGATACTCTTCTAATATTAACTCTCATTTAATCTGGGCAAATCTTCTGATTCCCATTCACGCCCAAATGAAAGCCTGAATATCGCCTTATTTAAATCCGAGCATTGGCCTAACGATAGTCATGAGATTTCATGTTTGGTTGGTTAAATGGTATTTCTAGTAACTTAAAATCACTGTATGTTTAGATAATTAATGTTCCATCGTGTACTATATATAGTTCTATATATAGCTCTATCTAAACGATTTACAATTGTTCGAAAGCATCGTTATAAAACTCCATTTCAACACTAAAAGAGAAGTCCTCAAATGAGCCAGAGCCGTTAGAATTAATCTTATATGGAAAACGAATAATCTCCAATGATTATGCCATATGGCAAAAGATTAAAGACTACGTTATTCCAAAGTCGAACATTGTAAAGAAATTGATCTCTTGCTTGACAAACAGCAGTAACGAAGGAGGGACACAGATATTTACTTTTCTGTGGATTCTGCTATAGGGAGTGAAAAATGGCACTGGCATAGAAGACACGGTGTAAAAAGTCGACCAAACAACAGACTACCAGATTTAAAAAATAAAACAAAGCACTGAGCAAGGGCAAACGAGGTAAAGTATCAACTAAAACCGTGGTTCTGTTCAATTAGCAGACATTGTACAAGTATAAGATTGATGTTTACGGAATAAATTCCAATAACTAAAAATACTATTCTTAAAATAGTGCTCAATACAGAGTAGAGAAAATATAATAATTTATTCGAAAATTATAACATAAACATGTTATAAAATCACGACAAAAATAGCCATTTTGTTTCAACACTTCTGGTGTCTTAGAAAGTGATGGCGTCAAATGTAGAATAAAGGGTTTTTGCCCTTTAATCTACACTGAACACCATCCCTGGCTATTTTTGTAATGATTTTATAACATATTTATATTATAATTTTCGAATAAATATTTATATAAATAGATATATAAATATATGTGTGTGTCTGTCTATATATATGTGTGTGTGGGTGTGTGCAGGAGTGCATGTGTGAGTGTGTGTGTGTGTATATATATATATATATATATATATATATATATATATATATATATATATATATATATATAAAAAAGAAATATAGTTTTCAGGTGATCTATATTCATGGGATGAAGTGCTCAATATCAGAGATAGAGCGTATGTAAATATAAATCTATAAGTGAAAATTGAAGTCAAGACTCAGTGGCGATAGGTTGTTTCATGCTATATATATATATATATATATATATATATATATATATATATATATATATATATAATATGAATAAATTCCAAATGGGGAACGCATATTTGCAATGAGATTTCTCGAAAATTCAGCAGGTAAATGTAATTAATATTGTTTAATTTAAAAAAAAAAACAACAAAAAAATCAGCACACTTACTTAAATAGATTGAATCTATAAAATAGCGTATAAACAGGAAATAGAATATATATATATATATATATATATAGAGAGAGAGAGAGAGAGAGAGAGAGAGAGACAGAGAGACAGAGAGAGACAGAGAGAGAGAGACAGAGAGAGAAAGTGAGAGCGAGAGATATGTCATAAAATACAGTTTAAAGTATGCTAAAATTACAGATTATATTGCTCAATATCAGGGATAGATCTTATCTAAATAGAAAAGTGGGCATTTAAGAAATATCCAGAGGCAATGTAAGCCTCCGTGTTGAGTCTGCGGCCCCGTGAAAGGGCGAATAGAGGCATAATGTCGCCATCACTAGTGAAGTCGCCAAATACCTTCGAAATCACAATTAGACTCATCCAACTCTTTCTAAATCCTCTGCATTGTCCTCAGATTGATACGCAAACAGTAGAGCAAGACGTTACCAAACTTCTGGCCGAATGAATTGCGTCATGGTCCTATTTTTCTCACAGACGGTGCCCAAATATCCCTACTATATTGTGCAGTAGACAAAAAAACAAAAAAACAATGCGCATGCGCGAACATAATATTTCTGAAGTTTTATTTCTTGATTTTTTTTTCTCAATACAATAATTAAATTGGCGTGATAGTGTTTTGAATGAATCATATGTGTGAGCATTTTTCTCTTCGTAAATGAATTTTAGTTGTTAAGGCTGTGTTTGCACATTGTGTGAATGTTACCAAAAATATCTCCCGAAAATACACTAATTACATCCACTGGTTCACGAACATAATATTCTGAATTGCATTGTTCTCTTCAGATCTTTTCTGATTTAGCTCTCCTTCCACCGCCACATATCTCACCCTCTCGTTGTCTCTCAATGCACACACACACACAGACACACACACACACACACATGTATATATATATATATATATATATATATATATATATATATATATATATATATATATACAAAAAGGCAAACAATATAAACAAATTAATGCAGTTCATGTGTGTCAATATGCCTTTTTCTTTTCATTTAAGTTTCCTTCCGTTATGATTTTTCATTTTCTATGTTTATTACGCGGTCGTCTGGTTTTCGTGAAAACAACAACTGCTCGGCATTGTATGAAATAATCAGATTTGTGTAGCAATACGTTTTTCTTTTCCTCACAATACTGTACTCAGTTACCTCGACCGAAGCCAAAATTACACCTGCCAGTCTGAAATACGTGCGCATGCGCGCAGAGATGTACACTTACCGACAAGCGCATAGAAATAGCCAAAATAACACTCAATAAATGTTGGTTGCATATTTCACAAATTTAAATTTGTCTGTCGCGAAATTGACAATTTTTTTGGATGTTTGACATTTTAAAAGGTTTTCGCAGACATCTATCTATCTATCTATCTATCTATCTATCTATCTATATATATATATATGTATATATATGTATAAATATATAGATATATATGCATCTATTTTAAGGCAGCATATTTTTATTCAAGCATATTTGGTTAAATTATTTAAACGTATAATGATTACTTATTTTACTTTTGATCCTGTCAAATCCGCAAATTAATTTCTAGGTGGGTTTACAAAATTGATCAAGAAAAAAGTCCAAAATTTGTCTTTCAAATAATTTTTTCACCAAGTCCGTTCAATGTCATCTTTTTCTGCAGCCACCAAGAAATTCACTCATGGACTTCAAAAGATTAAATCAAATACATACGCACACACACACATACAAAATTTGTGTGTGTGTGTGTGTGTGTGTGTGTGTGTGTGTGTGTGTGTGTGTGTGAGAGAGAGAGAGAAAGAGAGAGAGAGAGAGAGTGTGTGTGTGTCTATGTGTGTGTATATTTGTGAGAATTGATATAAAATACAGAATAAAATCCGAAACGTTAAAATATTTAATATGTTTCTCTTTTCTTTAAGTTTCATCAGAACCTTTTTTGTAAAAATTTACAAAAGTTCCGATGAAGCTTAAATGAAAGCAAAACATGTCATATTTATTAATGTTATCCTATTTGTTCTTTATTATATATATATATATATATATATATATATATATATATATATATATATATATATACACAGGTGTAACAAAAATTGTCCAAACCGTTACTGCAGATTTTCCCATTGTTAGATTGAGCTCAGTACTGCTTTATCTTAGAAATGATAAAAGATATTTTACTGGAATTCTTCGAGGTTTTTATAACACTATTGGACTCTAATTTGAGGTACAAGATTATATAATTACTCTCCAAGCTTAACAGAAGAATCGTGATGAAATCGATCATAAACGAAAATGACATGTTCATCATGAATTAAGCATAGCTAACGATCTAAAACTTATGAACCTTTCCTGTTTTTAAGAACTCTCGCGAACCTTTTGACCCTTCTGACTATCGCTGTATTAGCCTCCTACCCCTTCTCAGCAAAGTATTCAAGGCTATAATCAATGCTGAAATGGTTAAGCATCTTAACTCTCATGACCTATTCTTTGCCAAACAATATGGCTTCCGTTTTGCGCGGTCTACCGTCTACATGCTTACGGCCATCACTGAATATCTATATCAAACTCCTGATAATAACGGCGAAGCTCAAGCTAAATATCACAAAGGCATGCTGGTCTTCTAATTAAGCTTCACGCCACGTTATTACAGGACGATTATTTGATTTAATCCAATTATTCCTATCAAATCGTGAAATGTCGGTCGTTCTGAACGGGCTCGATTCCAGATCTTTCACGTGAACTCGGGTGCCTCCAAGACTATCCTGGTTCCTACGCTGTTTCTGAAATTCATCAATGATCTTCCTGATATCATCAGTTCCCAAGTAGGCATTTACGTAGATAACACTACCATTTACTCCTGTCTCAATAGCAAATCTGTCAGAGCTGACAAAGTTAACCTGTCTGCTGCTCTTGAAAAGGACATCCAATCAGTGGTTAATTGAGACAGGAAATGGCTTGTAAATTTTAATGACTCCAAAACAAAACTGTTCTCATTTAGCTGCTATAGAGAGACCTCCATTCCCACAATCAGCACAGATGATGCTCGAGTCCAGGAAAGCGTCTCAATGCGCTTTTTTGGCCTCACGTTGAAGAGGAATAACTAAATTGAATCAATTGGTGCATTTCTTGCAAGGGATGTCGGTTCATTGTGTCGTGTCTGACTCGTCAGAGTCTATCTTGCACGTTTACAAATCTATCATTCGTGCGTGTATTGAATACTCTTACCATATCTGGTCTGGTGCTTCTGCAACTCATCTCGAGGTTCTTGACAAAATCCAAAGAAGCATCTGCAATGTAATCGATTTCGACTAGGCATCTCAACTTCAATCACATTCTCACAGATGTGATGCGGTTTCCTTCTCTCTTTTCTGCAAATATTTCCATGGCAACTTCACTGACAAATCTTTTTTTCTCTGGTGCCCCGATTAAAGGGATTTACACATGCTAATATATTGGAATCTAGGTCCCACCCTTTTACTGTTAAAATTACTTAAATTTAACCGACACTTCTACTCGAACAGTTTATTTTCTCGCACTTCTCGCACTTACTTTCGTTTACTTGCTTCTCTGATGATTACAATCTTCTTCAATCGCCATCTTCTGTGTTCTTGAATACCGTTCATCTTTTATGGTTTCCTTAATCCTGCTATACGTAATCATTTCTCGCGCTTTCCCTCTCTGTAAACCTCCTGCGTACTAGTGGCATTCCCGTCTTGCTTGGGATGGAATGATTTACAAAAATATCTTCCTCGCTTAGCTGATATGGAAAAAAAATCAGATGGTATAAACGAAGGAAAGGCAAATACACAAATAAAAATGAAATTAAATAAAGAAGTAAAGAAATACTTAATTTTTAAAACGTATTTATAAACGAAAGAAAAATCGAAAATGTGTAACATTTTAATAAGGAGCATATTTTAATAACGACCAAATTTTAATAACGACCTTATTTTAATAAGGACAATATAATTATAAGGAACAAATTTTAATAAAGGACCATATTTTAATAACGACCAAATTTTAAAAAAGCCATATTTTAATAACGACCTTATTTTAATAAGGACAATATAATAATGAGGAACAAATTTTAATAAGGACCATATTTTAATAACGACGAAATTTTAATAAAAAACATATTTTAATAACGACCACATTTTAATAACGACCTTATTTTGATAAGGACAATATAATAATAGGGAACAAATTTTAATAAAGACCATATTTTAATAACGACGAAATTTTAATAAAAAACATATTTTAATAACGACCAAATTTTAATAACGACCTTATTTTAATAAGGACAATATAATAATAAGGAACAAATTTTAATAAGGGAATAATTTTAATAAAGATTATATTTTAGTAACAACTATTTTTAATGACAACGATATTAAAAATAAATCAGAAATAAATTAAACAAGAAAGAAAAATGACTCGAAGAAAAATGAATTTCGATTATTTAAAAAGATCAGGAAAGAAAGAAAATCAGAAGAAAATATCTAATAAAAAACGCTTAAAAGAAGAAAGATAAAAGATACATAAAAGAAGAAAGGAAAGAAAAAGGAAATGATCTGTCTGTATTTCTGAGATTCGGTATTGTAATTATTTTCACCATTCACATTGTTCCGACTGTTATCGCCATCTCCGTTGCCGTATTGACGACGTTTCGGACGTTGTACGCTCTGGCCTTCTTCACCTTGTCGAATTTCGACCTGAGTCCTTTATTTCTTCCGCCAGGGGTAGATTTGCTCGAGTTCCACGTGCCATGCCTCTTCCGGATATCTCAGTATCAGTTATCTCCCTTTAAATCAACTCTCTAAGTTTCTGTGCACCTCAGCTGTAGCAGAGATCGAGCACCTATCAAGATAGAATGAAAGGTAAAATAAATAAAGGTGAGAAATATAAAAGAAAAAAAAAACAAACAGAGAACAGCCAAGACAAAATGGAAGAAATAAAAAAAAATAATGGCGGAAAGCAGACCGATAGAACGGGCAAACCGTAGAAAGAATGAAAGAGTAACGGAACTGAGCATGAAGAAAGGGAAAAAATAATTGGAAGGAATTTTGGAAGAAAGAATTATTGGAGAAGAAAGATAAGTTTGATGCACTAAAAGGATAAAAATTCTCTAATAGAATTTGCTTAAAAGGTGACAATGTAAAAAAATGAAATGGTCATAATGAAGGTTTAAACTAAAAACAAAAGAAAAGATATAAAAAAGAAAAAAAAGGGAAAATAAAGAAAGCGAAAAAGAATGTTGGGAGTAAAGCCTAAATGAAGGCAGCCTGAAAGAAAGAAAGAAAGAAAGAAAGAAAGAAAGAAAGAAAGAAAAAAAAGATGAGGGGAGAAAGAAAATGATTCACCACGGAAGACGGAAAACAGAAAGAAAGCAAGAAAGAAAGAAAGAAAGAAAGAAGGGTATCCAAAAGGGTAAGTAAGAAAAAAATAAAACACATTTCTAAAAATCGTTCAACCAACGTAGAGGCATGAACATTAATAAAACAAATATCACGAAGAATTTTATGGCGTGTACTGATGGATTTATGAACGAGCTCTGCCAGTCGTCATAAAATGTAAACGCGATCAAAGTAATTCCAAGAAGTACCGATTCCAAATGCTTTGAAGACGTGACCGACACTTTGAAAAAAAAAATAAATAAATAAAAAAAGAACATATTCATTCTATTCAACTCTCTCTTTCTTTCTCTCTCTCTCTCTCTCTCTCTCTCTCTCTCTCTCTCTCTCTCTCAAGTGTTTCCGAAAATCGTTACTATCTGCGATACAACACGTGATGCTATGAATAGGCTTATGCTTGATGGTCTGTTAAGATCTTCTTTGTCAAAATGAGGAGAATGCATGGCGTATACTTGGGCATCGATTACCAATGAAAGGAGTGGAGTGTGTCACACTAATGCCTTCTTGTGGTGCCAGTGGACATGAAACCCGGCATTGAATTGTGCCTAAACAATCAGATGCCCATTTCAAGCGGGCGAATTGCTTTTATGCGAAACTGACCGTTTGTGTTGATAACATACATACATATGATAAAATAGAATAAAGAACAAGTAGGAAATGTATCTCAATCTAACATGTTTCACTTTTATTAAAGCTTCATCAGATATTGAGATAGAAATGAAAAAAAGCAAAGAGACAGACTACGGGAATGTTAAAATTCTTTGCTTAGTTCTTTGTCAGATTCGTGTATAAACGCCATAGAAAATATATAAATATGTGTGAAGAATATTTTAGACGTGAAAATGTGTGATAGTGTAAGAGTGTGTATGTAAAGAAACACTTTTGTGTCTAGGTGTATGTTGGAAGGCAACGTCAATTAATGTAAGTGTAAGTGTGTATGAGGAATGCCTGTAGATGACACCCTCATGTCTGTGAAATGTAGTGAGATGTTGCGAATAATTTTGTATTTCGTTGGATTTTATATTCTCGTGTATGCGTACGTATAAGGTGGATGCCTGTTGTTGTATGGGTCGGTGAGATGTATCAAGATATTGTAATAATATGTTTGGGTTGGATTTATATATATATATATATATATATATATATATATATGTGTGTGTGTGTGTGTGTGTGTAATCTACCACGACTCTAACTGTAGAAGTCATAACATATTTTACCTCTTAGAATGCACACTATGTGGGGGAAATCTGAATGGCCTTTCACTAAAAAATTAATAATTATCGTAATCGAATTAAGTCGGCTTCCTGCAAAAGATTATAACTTGTAGAACAACATTTCCCCCTAGAAAAAAACATGATTTTAAAAGCCATGCCTAATTCACTATAATTAAAAACAAAAACAGAAATAGCCAAAAAAAGATAACCTTAGAAAAATTCTAGAAGACCATGAAGACAAATGGATTTTGCGCCTCAAAATACTCCACCCAGACGGTCTTAATCACAAATTTAACAACATAGATAGAATTAATATATAACCCCATAAATCAAGCGGTATCCAAACACACACATACTAATATATACAGTTATACACATCAAACACATTCCCAGAAACTAATCATAACATGCACTTAACACATTTCTCCACTTAACACAAACACACCCTCTTAGAGGAACAAATAAAACTGTCAAGGACACATGGCCCAGTGGATATAGACGTTGTTTAAATCCAGTGACTAGACTCAAAGAGTTGTGAGTTCAGTACCAGTTCAGTGGTGAACCAAAACTTGGAGAGTTGAGTTAAAGTGAAATAACTGAAATATCAGGAAGGGGGATGGCACGTGGAACTAGAACAATCTACTGCAGTGGACGAAATAAAGGGTTCGTTTCGAAATTCCAATAACTTGAAGAAGGCCGGAGCGTACAACAGCCGAAATATTGTGAATATGGTAATGGAAATGAGGATAATTAATGTAAATAATGCAAGTAACCACAATTCCTCATCTCAGAGCCATAGAGGTCGAAACGGTGGTTGTGAATATCAAATGAAGATGAGGATAAGAGTTCGAATAATGTAAATAATGCAAGCAATCATAATGCCTTATCTCAGAGATATTGAGGCCGAAACGTTGTGAATATCGCAATGAAGATGAGGATAACAGTGGGAATAATGTAAATAATGCAAGTAATCATAATACCTCATCTCAGAGATATAGAGGCCGAAACGTTGTGAATATTGCAATGAAGATGAGGATAACAATGGGAATAATGTAAATAATGCATTTATTTCTATCCAAGGAATATTTGTGTGAACATAAATGCGACTAAGTGGGTGTTCGAACTCAGCATTGATCGGTTTCACTTTTCTCCTCGATAACCGTTATGCTACCCGAACAAAGCTTAACTTCTTCTTCTGTTTTTATACTGCTCTTATTTCTATTCTCTTTGTTTTCTGGCCAATCCGTCTTTTGTCTGCTTTCGTGTCACTGTTTGACGTAAGAGAAGTATCATAAATTATTCAATTCATTTCTTTTTTTATTGCTGATCACGTTTACAAATTCTCTAAGTAATTGCTCTCTTTGTTGTCCTCCTCCTCCTAAAGTCTAACCCCAACAAAGACATCCTTTGTCTTCTCTTTGCAATGATTACTCAGGTCACTGAAGGACTTTTTTTTTGTCTTTCGGATACGTACTATTGATATTTTTTTTTAAAAATCGTTTAACATCGCACAATCATTGATACTGATGAGGAGATTTCATTGCGCCAATGTACCAAATATATTGATTTCATTTCATTTCTTGAGGCATTTTCCTCTTCTTCTTCTTCTCTTCCACCTCTCCTCCTCCTTCTTCCTCTTCTCTTCATCCTCCTCCTTCTTCTCTTCTTCTTCCCTTCCTCCTCCTCATCTTCTTTCTTCTGCTTCTTCTTTTTCTTATTCTCCTCTTCTTCCCTTCCTCCTCCTCCTCCTGTTCTTTTTCTCTGCCTTTCTATTCTTCTTCTTCTTCTTCTTCTTCATTTTTCCTTCTACTTCTACTTTCTCCCTCCTCTTCTTTTTTATCTCCCCATACCCTTTTTCTTCTGCTTTTTCTCCTCCTCTTCGTCTATCCCTCTCCTATCCTCCTCCTTATTTTCTCCACTTCCCTCTCCTTCTTCTTCTTCTTCTTCTTCTTCTTCTCTTCCACCTTCCCTTCTTCTTCTTCTCTTCATCCTCCCCCTTCTCTTCTTATTTCCTTCCTCCTCCTCATCTTTTTTCTTCTGCTTCTACGCTTTCCCATTCTCTTTTTCTTCTTCCCTTCCTCCTCCTCGTCTTCTTTTTCTTTTCTCTGCCTTCCCATTCTTCTTCCTCCCTATTCGCTTCCTCCTCTTCTTTTTTACTCTCGCTACCTTTTTTCTTCTGCTTTTCCTCCTCCTCTTCTTCTTCTCTCCCTCTCCTCTTCTACACTCTCCTTCAAATTAACACTCAGGTTAATCTAGTTGATTTGAAATTTGTTTATGTAACATTGTGTATGTAAAATACAGGCAAAATAAATTAAGGATTAGGAATAAAAATTATAATAAGAAATCGTCACCATGATCGAGATCATTCGGGACAAGAGATACGTGAGCAAATATCAACAGACAGGAAAGAACAAAAGTTGGTCCGATAAAAACACTAGTTGAAATAGTGCAGATGAAAAACATTTCGATCGGAATCATAGAAATAACGCGCTGTTATGCTCAGGTCCTTCTGATTTCTGGACCCCATGATATGAACACCAAATTTTCCACTCGTGTGATGGTTCTTCGGTGGTGATTAACGATGGTTACATCATGCCAGCATCTTCGATTGAATGTTGTTGCCTATGGTCTGGAGACCCCGGTGTTCGTCATAAGGTCCTCGACAAAATCCAGAGAGGGATATGCAATGTGATTCGCCCTGATCTGGCATCTCCTTTACAGTCGCTCTCTCACAGACGTGCCGTCGCTTTCCTCTCTCTTTTCTACAAATATTTTCACAGTAACTCCTCCGACGAGCTACTTTCTCTGGTTCCCAAACTGCATGAATTTAAACGTGCTACTAGGTTGGTATCTCAGTCCCATTGTCGAAACGGTTAAATATAATCGTCTCTTCTACTCCAATAGCTTCATGTCTCGCAATTCCCGTGTGTGGAATTCCCTTCCTCCTACTTGCTTTCATGATAGCTATAATCTCTAAATATTCAAATGCAATGTCAATCGACATCTCCAGATGCCATGATCTATTTCCCGTCTTTCTCCTCATCCTTTCCTCTATCACGCCTCTTTAATCTTGCTCCCACTCTTCTGTAATCCCCTTGCGTGCTAGTGGCACTCCTACCTTGCTTGGGATGAAATTCTTAAAAAAACAAACAAACGGCAAACAAACAAAACACTGAGGTTCCGTAAACAACTGTGAAGTCCTGGATATATCTTTCTGTGCGATGGAAATCTGTTTGTGCTTTGGGGGGATCTGCTCGCAAAGCTGTGGTGACACAAGTTAGGATGGCAGCTAATCTGCGCGAATACATCACACCAAAAAATATGGTCACTTAAATCGCCAGACCTAAATCGTTTCGAGTATATGTTGAGCGTTATTGAACAGAAAACTAATCAATCTACTCACAATACGACCGATTCTCTGAAAGCCGCCATTATCCTCTTAATTGTCCGCTATCAGTACAGACCATGTAATGCATGTATGCCAATGATTCTGATCCTGCAAGGAAGTCATTATTGACGCTGAAGGCGGTTAAAGAGAATAAATATATATTCCAACCATTACTGTATTTTTGTAGCAAGTTTTATGTCAATAAAATTGGTTGCTCGTAAGATGTTTTGGTTTTTCTTAGAGTTTTCAGTATGTCCTCAAATGCCTTATGCGCTCAGTATGTGTTTAATCTGGCTGCCCTTGGTGGATGTCAACTAATACTGGGTTATTTACACTATTTACATTGTTCTGTCCTCGTGTTTATTGTCATATTCACGACGTTTCGGCCGTTGTATGCGCTGGTTTTCTTCAGGTAACATATGTTGGAGTTTCGGACATGACCCAGTGGGTAAAAGCGTTGGTTTTAACCCAAAGATTTGCGAGGGCAATGCATGACCACAGCAGAGGTAAAAAAAAAAAAAAGAAAAAGAGGAAAGGAGAGTTGAGTTACCAAAGGAAAATAACTGAAAGTGAGATATCCAGAAATGACATGACAAATAGAACATAACAGTTTACCCCGGTTGTCGAAATAAAGGGTTTGGTCGAAATTATAACGTATATCACCTGAAGAAGGCCGGAACATAGGGGGTCAATATTTGCCAATAGTTGGGACCAAAACAGGTTCTACCATCCCGGGTCAGGGTAGACATGGGAACAGCAGCAATTAAGAGGTGACAGAAGAAAGCTGCACATAATCTACTTAGCGAACTTGTTAAACGGACATCAAGACAGGATTTAGGAGAAGTGACACAATGAAAAAAATATACTAAGTGCTACAACGGATAAAAAACTGTAGAGATCTAGATAGTCAACGTCCTGAAATGACATTGCACATAGAAAAAAAATCCATTTCATTTCCAACTTCAGATGGATCTCATCGAGTCAATCCATCACTAAAAGTGATGTAAAAAAAGGAGCCCATTTTTTCTGCCATGTTTTATCTCTAAAAGAACTAAATTAAACTAAAAATGAAGTATTTCTGCCATATTTAAACCGAGGCTGTACAATCTTCACTCACCTGCTTTTATAGAATTCCAAATTCTTTACACAATCTTGTCTAATTATTTACAATTCTATAGTCTTTTTCTCCACAGACGTAACGACAGAAACCTATCACTACCCTAACGTTATGGCAAATATTTACATACACTCTTTAGTGCCGCTAAGTCCAATCTTTACGGCTAGGACACACCAAGTTACATAAAACGATGTCGAATAACTCATTTCCCTCATATCGTAAATGTAACTTTCCGCTGATACATCTTTGTCACCAGACCTGCCACATGATGAAACTGACTTCCGTGTGGGTACTTCCTTAAGCACTACAATCTTAAACCATTCAAGTCAAAGGTCACTTGTTAACTATCATCCTTATCCTCATCATATTCTCTTTCTACTGCCTCCTTCTTTACTCATATAACACCACATTCATCAGAACATTTGTATCAGTAAAACTTTACAGTGAGTGCCGCCTTGTATTTAGCGAACTGCATAATGAAAAATAATGTCTGTTCACACATCCTCCCTAAGTTTTTTTTTTTTATCAATTCACCTAAGCAGTTGGATAATCCCACTAAAACACAAGGGGCTACTGGGAGTGAAAGAGAATGAAAAGACTTTCAAAGGAACGTACAACCCAATCCTAAACAAGAAAAAATTAATAGATAAATACTCCTTTTCAAAAGACATGGGAGAAGTGTGGACTAGACTATAAGTTGGGCTTCTTTTTAAATCGATTTCACCCCAAGTAAGGCATTAAAGCCACTGAGACAGAAGGTGGGTACTGGGCGTGTAAGAGTTAGAAACACAAACCCCTGCTAAAGAACGAGAATAAAAGAAGCGTAACCAGGCCGACAGTAGATCCAATTTCATATCGTATTTAATTCTTTGCAGATTAAAGTTGAGTGGAAAGCATGGAGCTTGAAAGAGTTCCACAAGGGAGAAATACGAGAAAAGAAACCATTAGCATTGAACTTATGGTTACATATAGCCAGCTCAACTGCAACTTTCTAGTACTGCGCTTAAATGCATAAAATCTATCAATATTAGGACAAAAAATGTATGACAAACTGTAAAAATGTTTCGTCCTTTATGACATTGTATATAATTTTTTTCAGATTAAATTTGGCTGGAAATCATGGAGTCGGAAGGGAGTTCCACAAGTGAAAAAAGAAACTGTTAATTTAGAACTTACGGTTGCCTTTATCCAGATGAACAGTAAATTAATGTGACCTTCTCTTCAGAATAGAATTATGATTAAATTCAAAGGGTGTAGCCACCATAGTGAAGAGCGATAATTATTTATAAACAAATTACAAAATGTGGCACAAGGCCAAAATGGGCAATGGGGGGGGGAAAGTATGGTGTTTATATGTCTTAACTTTAAACTTAGCTAGCCACAAATACTAACGCAAATATACCACAATATTCCTTACACTAAAACAACTAATTCTTACTTATCATTCTTATTACATCCGCCACAACACCTCAGTGTCTCCATGAAAATTCTAACTAGTCGCCATATGTACAAGTTCATGTCTGTGGTGGGAGGGGAACAAAAGAAAAAACAAAACAAAAGCGAAGAGTTCATTCGAAAAAATGAGATGAAATTATTTGTAGGAAAGGCACAGAGAGACAACTTTACGGTGGTGGAAAAGAGACAGAAGCCGAGACGCCAGAATAGAGCCAATAATATTGCTGATTCTTCATTGGATTTTATTAAGGATCTCTCCTTATAGACGAGAAGCATTGGACCATATGTGGTAGCAATATGAAAATCATGATGCAAGATCTGGAAATATAAAGAATGGTTTCATATTCACCGACGTATCAGGTAGACTGCAAAGTATATCGTTTTTCTCTTCTCAATCAGAAACAATTATTATAAGTGAACTTCTCCCTACATACCACTTCTACTTATGATTGCTTTTAGATTTTCCGTAAACAGACTTTTGCTTTCTATCTCTCCCCTTCATGTACATAACAACGCACTTAGACACATCGGAAATTACAAATACCTAACCCTGACACGCAGACAATTGAACTGTCTGACTAATATGAGCATCGACCGTGCCCTTGCATACAAATGCACGCATGCGCACATGTGCACAATAGTTCACCATTAAAAAAAACATCGTTAAATATGCACGTAAACATCTATAGTGAGTGAAAAAAAAAGGCGATGGCAGGCTGCAGGCGAAGCGGACTGAGGAAAACCAATTGAAAATGGCAATATTTTATGTACTTTTGCTGATAAGAAGTTCATTTTGGTTTATAGTCAGTGAGATTTCGATGTCCCTGTACCAAAGTCCGGCAGAAAATCGTTGGGGAAAGAAAGAAAGAAAGAAAAGAAGAAAGAAAGAAAGAAAGAAAGAGAGCAAGTATGGACGGAATAAATGAAGGAAGGAGCGTAATTTTGTAGAAAAATAAGAACAGAATTTTAAAGAAAATGTCTGGAAAAAGGCGATAAAGATGAATACGGAAATGACGCAATAAAAAAAAAATAGCAAAGATAAGAAAAAGAAAGCGCCCAAAATGCGACTTCAATAAAAAAAAAGAAAGATCCTGAAAAAGAAAAGAAAGAAATAAAGGTAAAAAGAAAAGCAGAAGAAAAGAAAGAAAGCGAGAAACAAAGAAACCAGCAAACAAAATAGGAAAGAAAGAAATGGTGGAGTTTTCAGGTGATATTTGGAAGAAAGAAAGAAAGAAAGAAAGAAAGAAAGAAAGAAAGAAAGTGTGGAAAGAAAAGAAAGGAAGGAAAGAAAGGAAG